CTCATCAAGAAAATCATCTTGGCAAGGGCCTGCGGGTAACTCTCAGTTAAGAGTCTATAAGGAGGCCCACGTGCTCCTTGCGGGCCAGGCTGGGCATTACTTTCAAATTCCCGAGGGTCACAAACCAACCAGTGGCAGGAACAGGGAGCGGGACGTGTGCACGTGTGTATCTCTGTGCCTGCTCACGGATTCACATGTCTGTCTACCCCTGCTGGCCAGGGCCCGAGGCTGGGCCGTACTCCGTTCCCTTGCCAGCTCCAGCTAAGGAACTCCCCGGGAGGGTCTCCCCTGGAGGCTGCTCTCTGCGGGTGGACCCCAGCCTCCCTGAGGACACGCAGGGACAGGCGTGTGGCCGGGGAAGGTGTCTGATGTTCTCTGCTCTCTGCCATCACAGACTCCTTAAGGCCCAAGCGGCTCCTGCACAAAGCGTGAAGCCTTCCAGACAAGCCGTTTGCCCAGACACGTGGTGATGGGGCGCGAGGTGGGCTCGGGCAATGCCAGAGCTGGCCAACGAGCCCCTGGAGGGGCTCCGGGCAGATTCCAGCAGGATCTAAGGGACTGGCAAGCAGCCGCACGCAAGCAAAATCTTGGGGAAGATTTATTCCCCAGACATCAGCGGTCTTCTGCCGCCGGATTCGTGGATTCCTGTCAAAGATTCCTTCCCTGCTCCTAAAGCAAAAGCCGAGTAGAATTTGGGGAAACACCCCCAGATGAAAACACATTTTCAGTTCTTTTTTAATTTTTAATTTTTTTATTTTTGAGAGCGAGCGCAAGCACGGGAGCAGGGGAAGAGCAGATAGAGAATCTCAAGCAGGCTCCTCGATCCCAGTGGGACCGTGACCTGCACCAAAATCCAGAGTCGGACGCTCAAGCAACTGAGCCACCCAGGCACCCCTCACGTCTTCGTTTCTTGACGCTCGAGTCCTCTTGGGCCAGCAAGGAGAAGGGAGGAGGGAAGGCGGGAGAGGAGGGAGCCGCGGGCGGGAGGCAGGGCCTCTTCCCTCCGGCTGGCCCTCTGCACCCCAGCCGGTGCGAAGCAGAGCCCCAGCGGCCCCAGAAAGTGAGGTTTCTGAAGCACACAGCCTGGGCTACAGCGTCGCACCCCTGGGGGCAATTCAAAGTGACAGGATTTACTCGGCAAACAAGACAAAATACCCTGCAAGACAGCTGTTCTTTGCAGCGCAGGGTGAAAACCTCATCCCTTCCGAAGACTCCTGTATAAACGACGCATAAAGTTGCAACGATCTAAATACACGTGCCGAAGGCCAGTGGGTCCACCGCTTCCTCCCCTGAGCCACCTGCTGGTTTCACGTTTTAACTCCCAGGTGGGACTTCTCGTTTTTAAGGATGCTTAGCCGGCAGGGAAGTGGGGCTAGCGGGCCCTTGGGAACGCGGCAAGGTGGGACCCTGGAGGGGCAGTCCGCCGGACCCCCGGTCCTCAGAGAATCTCTGAGCCACGTGACAGCAGGTGCTCCTGCCGGAGCCACAGCAGGGCTGTCATTTAAGCTCAGGTGGACTCGGAGTTCAAATTGTGTTCGGATCTCGAAGGGTAGCGGGCTTTCTGCAGAGGGTATTTATTTCTCGAAATCAGAGAGAAAGGCATGCTGTGCTCACCCTGGCAGATGAGTTAGGCTGGTCTCCCTTTTCCTAACGCTGTGGGTATTTTTGCCAGGATGGAGGTTTCTGGTCTGTCTGAAGGGCCAAGAGCACTTGTCAGGACGACAGTGGACGTTCGTGGGACAGGGCACAGCCAGCACGTGCCGTCGGGGCCATGGGTCTGTCTCTCAGAGTCCCTCCCTCACACATAGAGGAGCGAGCAAACAAAACCCCCTAAAAACCCCATCGAGGGGCGCCCGGGTGTCTCAGACAGTGAAGCTCCCGACTCTTGGTTTCGGCTCAGGTCGTGATCTCCCGGTTCGTGGGATCAAGCCCCGCATCAGGCTCTGTGCTGATGGTGTGGAAGCTGCTTGGGATTCTCTCTCCTCCCTCCTCTCTGCTCCTCCCCCACCTGTGCCCTCTCTGTCTCTCTCAAAATAAACAAACTTAACAAAAGCCATTGAGCTGCCCAGTCAGCGACCTCCCCACTGGGAGGCCTGCGGGGCTCCTGGTCTTGGCGGTCTCCCTCTCTGGGCCCTCGCCTGTCCACCCTGGCGGGGACCTCCCGGCCCGCACTCCTCCTGGGTCCCTGGGCACGGAGACCCGCAGCTGAGCTCCCTGGGAGCCGCCTGCCACTGGGCTCGCCCCTCGGCACAGCCCTCACGCGTCTACTTGCTCATGTCTGGGCAGCCGCCCGGTGCCGCCCTGTGCTGTTCCCACTAGCACTGCCCTCCCTGCCCTCTTTCTCCCCGGAGCATGCCTGCTGGGTGGGTGCGAACCGAGGGCCGCCGGGGGCCATGACACTGCCCGGACTCCTCTGTCATCATCACCCGGCACCTTCAGGAATGCCACAGGACAGCCTGTCCCCGGCTCCCGGGCTGGGGTCTCTCTGGCATCCCGGGCGGCAGGAGCAGCATCTCGGTGGCCAGGCCGGGTCAGCCCCCGTGCGTCCCGGTGGGGGACGGCGCTGCTTCGGGAGGGAGGGGCCGGGGGGGGGGGG